CCCAGTTGCAGCAGGAAATGACTGGTTCAGCTAGTAACGGCCTGTTTCAGTTTGAAGTAGAACTCTAAGTTTCCTTTTGCTACTTGTTTTCTTTGCCACTGAATGTACTTTCCTTCACAATGAGAAAGTTTGCCTGTAGCAAGTAGTTAAGAATTACAGCTCTCCATCCCTTGTATTTCTCAAGGCATTGATTCATAGCAGACGCTTACTGTCACTGCACTGGGAAGGATGGGGTGATTACTGTACATCTACTGCCTGCATTCCAGTCACCAGAATTCCTTGTTAATTACAATAATTCCCTAGTGGATCACCGATCACATATACTAAAATTGGGGTATTTTATGTCAGAGCATAAACTATGGCAAGTTTAATCTGATGGCAGATGTGCCATAACTTAATGAAAATGAAAACTAAAATTTAAGATGTTCCAGTATAGAGTGGCTGAATCCAGCAGACCCTTAACATAGCTCATTCTGACAAAAAACATAAACCTTTATGTTTTGGTTTTTATCAGATTTGTATGAGTTTTATTACTGAACTAATGCTGTGAGGTTTGTTGTTGCAGAATGTTCAAATCCCAAATATAGCATGTACTTTGCTCTGCTAAGTGTCTGCTTAGTCTTACTCCAGAGAAAATACATAAAATCTTTTGCAAGAGAAAGTAGCTGAGATGGAACCAGTCTCTTCAAATCCCAGGCACTGAATACTAGAAACCTAATATGGGTGACTCATGGTGCACACAAGGTTCATCAGCAAACTGATGTTAAAGTATTTCTGCATGTTATGTCTTTTCCAGCTCTTTGACATGGATGAGGATGGCACTATAACAGAAGATGAGTTTGCTTGTATCATTCAGTCAGCTCTGGGGGTGCCTCAGCTTGATGTTTCTATGCTCTTTAGAGAAATAGATGCAGATGAAACTGGGAAGCTGTCCTATGGTAAGTTACATCCTTCTGTAATGAAGAGCACTCTGCTAGTCATATTGACAGTGCGAGTTTCCTACCTTTTTTCGTCCTGAAAATATCTGATGGTTCTCATACCCTGTTTCTGGGGAAAACTGTTGAAGCACAGACCTAGACACTTTGTGTGGTATGTCTGAGATGCTTCAGAGGGAAGTAACTGGAGATCAGCTTCAGCAAAAGGAGCAAGCACTGAAATTTTCTTTGGTTCTGTTCTTGCACTATAGTATCCGTATTTTTTATATTTTTCAGGTGAGTTCAAGGACTTTGCACTCAAGCATCCAGAATATGCCAAGCTCTTTACTACGTACCTAGAGCTACAGAGATACCAGTTAGATATGTTGGAGGGGGATGACTTTGAGTCACCTGAAATCAAACACAGTCCAGTTAGAAAGACTACAATCCCAGTCTCAGAAACAACACCAATTGCAAGAAATAAAGTCTGTCCTGAAGGCAATGAAGAGGATAACTCCAGTACCTCTGACAAAAAGGATGACTGAGAAGAGTTAAAGTATTCAGCTCTTGAATTCTACAGGATTTTTTCCCTAGCTATTCATAAGCACAATTGATATAAAACAGAGATGGAAGTTACAATTTTTTAAAAATGTTCCTTTATTTACTTTCATATCAGGAAGAGTTATTCCTGTTTGAGTGTAAGGGAAAAAACACTGTAACTACTCTGTCCTTGATGTCAGTATCACAACACTGGGAATGTTGTTCACTGTCTTCCAAGTTCAAGCTTCCACAAAAGTAACAGATTTCCTCAGAGAGGTGAGGGGCTCCAGCACTGCAGTGACTTCTCAGAATGGAGACTGAGTCCACTTGTGTAAAAACAAGTGGAATTTTTGGTGCTCCTCAATTCCTCTACATGCCCAACATGTCTTAAGGGAAAAAAATGATGCCAGAGTGTTTTAATTTGCAATATCCCTTAGCCTTTCTCAAGTTTCTGAGACACAAAAATGAGTTACAAGATGCTGAGAGTTGAAGCTGGTGTTTTCTTTTAGCTGTCCTTAGGTTTCCCTTAACTACCTGTGAACTATAAAGCCTAAGCTTCTGAACAAGACATGTTGATTCAACTGATGTTAACAGAAACAGCTTTAGGCTTAAAGGCTAGTTAAAGATGGAAATAGCTGCACTTCTAACAACAAAAAACTAATTGGAATTCCAAGATAGCAGCTCGAAGTCTACAGGAAAATGCAGACAATAAGACCCAAGAATTAATGGACTATTTCAAAATAAATAGAATGTTGTTTACAGTAACAACTGTTCAGGATCACATTAGGAGGAATATTTCAAACTTCAGCATATTTTTATTCTAGTAATTATCAACAGAGGAATGTGACCTTGCTCTGCAAAACTTAAAAGGCAAATGTGCTGTCAAGCCATAGTTCTAGTAGTTAGTATCTACTCTAAAGTTGTCTCCTAGAAACCATGTTTGCATTACTGTGCCATTACTCAATATGTTCTTAGGGTTTGATTCAAAACCAAGCTCTTTCAAGTCAATGATTTGAGTATGTTTCGCTTCAGCCCCTTCTAGTGCACTGGAAATTGGGCCTTTTTCCCATCCTTCATCTGAATGCACTTTATACAGTATTTAAAATATATACGTATTTACACAAATAACTTCTAAATAAAAACTTGAAAGGGGTGGAATGACAGGATATTTTCAAATTGAAACTGAGGTGAGCAAAGTCTAGAATGTCTAGTACCAAAAATAACCAATTTTCAGCAGGTTTTGGATCTGAAAGGGTAACCTCTGCCTCTAAGTTATTGCTTGTGTTGTCTGGCTGCAAGTTCATTGCCACGTGTAATCTTTCTGTGTTTATAATTGTGCCTATCCAGATGTTTCATATGCTTAAAATAAATCTATATTTTTAAAAGACTTTATTTGAACAGCTGAGTCTTCTTAGTAGAGTAGGAAAGGTACTCTGTCTACCTCAAGGGGCTGGAGGGGTTGTCAGGAAATCATCCTTACGATGTCTTACCTTGATAAATACAATGCAACCTGAAGTTGACATTTTTAGTTCTGAGTGCAATGGCACTTTTTTTTGTGGTAAGGCTAGAAAAGTAGGACAGGACTGATACTCTGCCAGAGTTACTTCTGCTGACGATCTCAGCAAGAGGGGATATGGTACAAAGAAGATTTGCAGGTATGTGGGTGGAAAGATACCTCTGTTTTCTGACAGAAAATAAGGCATCACCATTTACAGATACAATGAGTGACCTCAACTACAACTGGAAGCAACAATCATGGCTTTGTGTAATATGAACCAGTAGGAGAAGATTTTCTTTCACTCCAGAGAATGAGAAGCAGGAGTTACACTAACCTAGCTGTACAGTCAGCTGGAATACATGTTAATTCCTCAGCAAGGATGCTTTTGCCTAGCACGTTAACCAAAGCCCTCAGCTTTTCAGCCAGCAGTAACCTTTTCAAAGATGACTTATATTCCAACCAGTAAGAAAAAGATGGGTGGGCAAAAATGACAAAGACAACCACCTTCAGGTCTTGAAATGCTAAGGGTGCCTTACGCATGCTCCTGTTGAATGCAGCCACATTCAACAACTGGAGTACGATGTTGCGTACTAGCATAGCGTATTTAGGACTAGTGGTTTTATAAATCCTGCAAGTCACACAAGTACTTTGCAATTAAAGCTAAAAATATTGTGTATATAAATCTACATATCCCAATAGTTTAAGGAGGAAAGGCCTCAAATGGGTTTGGTATGTAGCAGTGATTCAGCTATGCTCTGAAAAGAAATCAGCTAAACGTTAGAGACACTAACTCAATATACACACATCTGCTTGATGTGCGGGAAGGGAATACATTAATTTCTAGGCATCATTGTGCCTCAGGGAGCTTTTAAAAGGACCAAACTAAAAGCACTCTGCAATAAACAGGCATTACATTAAGTGGCAAAGCAGGAACTAAACAGAAGGTGGAGGTTAAAAATACTAAACAGAAAATGGTTCTCAATCAGACATTGAGGGATGACACCTTTCTGCCTGATACTTCCTGAGGTGCAAGTTCTTGAGTCTTAAGGATCATTCTGAGTCCTGCACAGTAGAGCTAGAAAGGTATATTTGATCCCATGTCACCGCAGGAAACATCATTTATTTAATCAGTATTTCTCTATCATGCTCTAACATGGATTTGATGATAAATCCTTCACAGATACCAAAATAAGACACTATAAAGTAAAAAGAAACTCCAGCAATCTTAACAAGGGTGAGAATCACATGAGAACAGATCTATTACAAGAGGAAAGCACAACTACTTCTCGAGAACAGAGGCCCATGGGCTGCTGTTTTTCATGTTTTCTGATAACTATGTATATAAAGTACATACAATCACTATGAATAACTCTCATTTACATTTTTTTAAAAACTATGCTCCTGTTTCGGAACACATGAAAGGCAATGGCACATCACCTAGAAAAGTGGACCTTCCTAGTTCACCCTGGAACAAGGAAGATATCAATACTGTTAATCCTCATCAATTTGTTTAAGGAAGGAGAATCAATAAGGTCTCCACTGGCCAAACCAGAGGTTGATTTCTGAGGGAAAGATCTTCCAATCCAAGAAAATTAAAACCATATTTGTACTTCCTTTCCTGTTTCAGTGGCACTGCCTAAATAAATGCAGAAATACAGATGACACATCCAGGTCTCATGTCAAATCATACTGCTATAAGATCTGGTCCAAAATCACGTATTTCCTGGCTGGTTGCTGTCCATCAGCAGAGCTATGAGGAGCACTAAGACCTCCAGAAAGCATATGAAAATGGATCTCCTATTTTCACGGTTACCAGCTGTGCAGCATCAGTCAGAGGTACCAAGCCAGGCAGTGGCTGCTGCTTCTGAGCTTTTATACCCATCTACATCAGAACAAATTAGGAGCCAAATTGTATTCCCACAATGTTCCTGTGGGTGTTACCTCCTCTTCCTCATCAGCTTGCTCCATAACTTGTGGGGGAAACAAAGTTCAGTGATTCCCAAATGGTTTGCAAGATGGCCGCATGCTCTACCTGTTCAACCACTCTCAAGAACCCAGCAGGACTAAGAGCCCTGGGAGTCCAAAGAAGGGTCATGTTGTGTGACAGGTCTAATGACCGTTCATAGGACTTCTGCATGGGGTAAGGGCTGCTTGGCTACATCTGTCATCTGCCTAGCAATTCCCATCTAAAACAAAGCATTCCCTGGGTATCAGAAGTCTGAGAAACATTTGTTGAGATCTGTTTTTCTATGGTGGTCAGCACACCATGGCCATGTTCCTGGGTAATTCCTCAGGCATTATGCCAGTGCAAATAAATAAACCGTTCTGCCTGAGCAGACTTCTGGTGGTGTTTGCATGCATAGGTGCCAAGGGCTACTCAGAATGCATAGATATGGAAAATCAGGGCCTGAAGCTTAGACACTAACTGTAAAAAATGTCACTACATACACGCCCCCCACACTCCTCTGTGGCCAGGCTGCCTGTGAACTGTTTCACCATAGCCTTCACTGAGGAAAGCAGACTAAAATTTCATGCTGAGAATTACATAGCTCTCACTTTGAGAATGCCACAGTAAAAATTTTAAAATCCATTTTTAAGAAAGGTTTGGGAGGTTTGTAGTTACACTTTGTACGATTTGCTAGGAAGGCTAGACTCCCTTCTGACTGGCCTTTGGTTTACATTTTTCCTGCCAGTTTTGCATCTCCTGGAACAACCTACCTTTCCTCTCTACTTTCTCCCTCCACATTTCTGCCCAAAACACAGCCACTACCATCAAAAGCTGTATTCCACAATGATTAAAGTTAAGAAATTGTAAGATTAAAGCATAAAAATTACTGAATTGGGTGGGATTCAGGGGGTACTTAGTCAGCATTCAGGTAACTACTTTTACTGGTCTGCAGTAAGAGCAAACTTGTCAAAGGTTGCAAGGGATTTTAATGACATTTAATTAATTAATTTTAAATCTTTACTCAATGAAATAACATTTATTAGACTGACTAGCAGTAGGGAGACGTTTGTCAGCAGTGCTTAAGTTGGCAGACTCTCTGTTACTATACATAGCCAGAAAGGCAGAAAGTAAACATCTTATAGGATTAGCAGCTATGTTCATAGCCGAGATGAAATTTGGACATTTCATTAGTATAAGATTGATTCTGACATTTCATAAAGCCAAAACGCAAACAAAAAAATGTGTCTGATATAAATACAGTACGCAGCACTTACTCAGATAAAGTTCAAGCAGCGCAGCAGGTTTAGTGCCATGACAAAGGAAATACAGACGGGTCATTTAAGGACCCAACTTCTGCTAAGCACTTAAGTATATGCTTAATCCTGTGGGCATCAGTCAGATACTTTGTACTTATTAAAAGCACACAATAATACTAATAAATTAGAAAACATGAAACATTTCCATGGGTAGTTATTGTTAACGATGGTAAGAATTACACCACCCTCATCAAGGAAAACAAGATCACAATTGATTAAATTTTATGAAAGATTGTGTCATCCTCTTCGTTTTAAGGTATTCTGTAACAACCACAGCTTGACCGGTGAGACTTCAGAGACA